GATGAATTGAATGGCAATCTGTAAAAGTGTATGTGATGGGGAACACCTGCTGTGAGTGTTTAAGATGTTACTGGAGCCTGCACTGTTTCTTCTACTAAAGATTAAGATAAACTACCTCTGTGGAAACAGTTACGTAGGAAGTGAGTCACTAATCAGTTGACTGCTTGACTGCTTCCTCAAAATTCAGTCTAAATGTGTCCGGACAAGCTTTCCTGTTGGGGTCTGCATTGCCTCCATCTACACCTGACATTCCAGCTGTGGGAGCAGCCTGAGATGAGGGTGGGTGGGTGGGTGGGACCATGATCTGCAAACAAAGTTCTTTTATTGCTTGTCAGCTGCTTTGTAGCTGTCGGAACTGAATGCTGTACTGTGGGTGCTTAACAAATGTTTTTGCGTGGACTTTTCTGCCCTTTCCGCCACCTTGTGTCATGCATAATGTGAACTATAAATATAAATACAGGTAGTCCTCAACTTATGACCACAATTGAACGCGGAATTTCCATTGCTAAGTGAAACGGTTGTTAAACGGGCTTTGTCCCATTTTACGATCTTTCATGACACGTTAAGTGGATCACTGCCATTGTTAAGTGAATAACACGGTTGTTAAGTGAATCTGGCTTCCCCACTGACTTTGCTTGTCAAAAGGTGATCACGTCGCCCCAGGACATTGCAACCGTCATAAATAAGAGCCGCCAAGCGTCCAAATTTTGACCATGGGGAAGGCTGCAATGATTAAGCGTGAAAAGCAGTCATAAGTCTTCTTTTTTTCAGTGCCATTGTAACTTTGAACGGTCATTAAACAAATGGTTGTTAAGTCAAGGACTACCTGTACTTTATAAAATGTGTATGCTGATCAGTTCCCAGCAACCTGGGTGGTTTATAGTTATTAAAACATTTTAAAACAAAGAACAATACAGGAACAACAAAAAACAAAAGGATAGTGGCAGAAAACAAGGGAACAGAAAGGAAGGGGGGGTGTCAGTCGTTCTCTCCAAAGGTCTGGACCAGGGGTAGGCAACCTTGGCTCTTTTATGACTCGTGGACTTCAACTCCCAGAATTCCTGAGCCAGCCACGCTGAGGGTAAAGGGAGAGGTTTCCAAGCTGAGCCATGCTGGCTCAGGAATTCTGGGAGTTGAAGTCCACGAGTCATAAAAGAGCTAACGTTGCCTACCCCTGGTCTGGACAAAAAAACCAAGTTTTTGAGCCCTTTGGAAACACTAGAGGTGTGGGAACCATTCGAACCGGGGAGGGGGAGAACCTTATTCTAGACGGCAGGCACTGCTACAGAGAAGGTGGGCTTCTGGGGTCCAGGCAGATGGCATTGCTTAACTGATGGGATGTGGAGTGCACCAACCCTGCCATATCAAACTAGTCAAGCAGATACTGTGTACTTTTATTGTAATAAATAGGGGTTCCCCCCCCAAAGTGATCATTTTTGTTAAAAAAAAGTGTTGATCACAGTAACTACAGGTCCCATATCAGACTGTAACTTCAACAGGAAAGGTAGACAGGCAAGAATAATATATTGTACAAATACTAAATTACATTTTCTAAAAAGTGATTGATGGTTGGATGTGTTTTCCCATTCCACATGAGTAATTTTCAAGGTGGAGGAATCTGAAAAAAAAATGATCTAAACACCCCCCTCCCCAGTCTTATCAGAGATGCTGTGATACTCCTGTTGATTACCTG